TTTACTTATAAATGATAAATAAAGCTATAAGGTCTGTTTTCTAATTCTGTACTGGAACTTTCTCTCTTACTAAATATCAAACATATCTATTTCACTTTAAGTTCTAAAAGTGTATACTAATTCAGCTACAGAAAACAGACCTATGATAAAGTCCTATGGATTATCATTAGGTTTTTCGTTTATTGTTGCATTGGACTGAACTTTCCTTCTTATTTTTGCCAAATATCAGACATATACCTATTTCATTTTTAAATTCAGCTACAAAAACGGATCTAATGCGACTGTATTATATTCTATCTAGGATTAACAAATGCTGTAATTTTCAAATATTAATATAAACATTTGTGTTTAATATACAGATTTTGGAAGGAGTACCTGTGGACGCTGCAGTCGGGCAGATATCACGAGAGGGAATACGGTTACTGTATCGTGGAATTTTGCCGCCTCTGTGTCAAAAGACTTTGTCCGTCAGTCTGATGTTCAGCATATATGAAGGATGCAAGCGAAGACTCTGCCTGCTAACTGGAAACGATGTGTTGTCCAAAATATTAGCGGCAAATGTAGCCGGTGCGATGGAAGCTCTCCTCATGCCGTTTGAAAGAGTACAAACGTTGCTACAGGATTGGCGATATCACGAAAAGTTCAAGAATACCTCCCACGCATTCAGGTATCTGTTGTCAAATCACGGAGTGACTGAGTGTTATCGCGGTATGGTTCCTATCATATACAGAAACGGCTTATCCAATCTGATGTTCTTCACCTTGCGGGATCAGTCGAAGATACTGCTAGGCGAGAAGGAGTCGCTGCTGACGAACTTTGTCAGCGGCGCCCTGATTGGCGGCTTCACCAGCACAGTGTTTTATCCAATGAATGTAATCAAGATACACATGCAGTCGAAGATAGGCGGCGACTATGAGAGATTTCTGGCTGTGATTCGCGAGGTGTACATCTCCAGGGATCGAAGCTTAACTTCTTTCTACAAGGGCGTTCACTTGAACTACATGAGGTCCTTTATTAGTTGGGGAGTGATTAATGCATCGTATGACTTTTTAAAGAAGATTATTTTTTAAATCATTTAATAGGAGAAAAATGTATTTTTGAATTTATTTATAGAAGACATTTCACGCCCTGCTATTTTGGGTGGTAATAGAAAATACCTTTTTTTTTAAAAGATGTGAATGTACATGTGTGTGTGTTGTAATCGCATTCTTTCTACTAGACTATGCAAGAATGCATATAAAAAGATCTATTTATGAATGTATAGAAATTTTTGTGTAACGTTTTAACGAATATTTGGAGATAACGTCAGTTGACAACTTGTTCTTTTTTTTTTTAATGAACAAGGATGATCAAGGATTAATTTTTTGAAATAATACATTATTAAATTCTTCATTGTTTATGAAGATTATATAATTTATAGATGTAGATAGGTGTAATTAATATTTTATGAAGGTCTTTGATAATTTGCTATCCTGCCTTTATGGATACATTTGAAAGTTTATGCACATGAATTAACTCTTCAAACATGTATAATTTATGAGGCAGAGAAAAGTATTAAATGAATAAATTTAGATACGCAGTTTGTCTTTAGTTATGGGCAACGTGCTATCATAATCAATTACATATTTTAATTATCTATATTTATTCCATAAATTATAAATAATTAAATTATGTTGAAATACTCTTTGGAAGTTCTTTAAAATTCAGAATATCTAAAAGCGATATTTTTTGCGATTAAATGTCACGATTTATAATAATATGTGATAGAATATCTTGTCATAAAATAATTCGAAGTAATTAAAAGAGATAGGAAAAAATATTTGATATTACTATAAACTATTTATATGTGATATTACATTATGTAAAAATATGTTGAAGACTCATTTCTTACGTATAATAATGTATAAAGATGGACAGCAAAGAAAAATTTGTATGTACATATAGTTCATTATGCATATTATGTACAAATATATTTTATTAAAATATGTGTACATATAGTTTATTATTTAAATATATTGCTATTTTTTTATACATTAATTTTGTATTATATGTATAGCGACAATACTTTTATTTTGAAATATATGTGTGGAGGCATTTTTGAGACGTAGGTCACAATTCAATCAATAAGATATAATAAGCAAAACAATAAATTATTAATTGTATCGTTTAATAAATCAATTTACACGAAGTAGAAAAGTAGATAATGAGTGTATATTGGAACATTTATCTATTGGGGATGTTAATATTGTATATAAAATATGTACAAATGTCAAATTAATGCTAAGGACAATATAATTTTGGTATCAGTTACAGTGTTGTATTTATTGTATTCTATACAGGGTTACAGTGTTATATTCCATACAGAGCGACCCATAAGTATAATTCGGGGCATTATGGATTAGATAAACGTTCTGGGAAAATTTCTTAACTGGATAAAATGTTTAACTTTATTAAGAACAATGGTGGACATGTTGAATAGATTATATAAAAGCTTTCGTTTTGCTCTGCTAATTTTTTTCTCTACAATGCTGAACTTATGGCTGACTAGCTCGCTGATATATTCATGTGTCTTTAAAATTCCCGCCACAACATACTGCTGGGGCTTCGGTCAGGGCCAACTCGTTAAAGGTCCGACCCGAGGTCCGTTGTTTATTCTCACACTAGAACTGTTTCCAAGCAGAACAATTCATTATGACATCGAAATGATATCAAAGTGACCCCAAAATGATCATTAAATCATTTTTCAATAATTGTTTTTATTTTCATTTTGACGTTATTGTGATTTGTTCTGCATGGGTCTTTCACGTTTTCATAAAATATCAAACATGTATCTATCTCACTTTAAGTGGTTTTAAAAGTGTATATATATATATATATATATACTAGTTCAGCTACAGAAAAACAGACCTCTGGTCTCTTCAGAATTAGGACAGTATTCATAGTCTATTTCATATATTCAAGATTGTATTAAAGATTAATATAATTGTGAAACAGGATATTCGATTGAACTGGATTATAGATTCTTCCCAAGGAGAACAAAACAATTAAAATAATGTCAATTTGACGTCATATTAACGAATTTATATCATTTTTTGGTCACGATAAAAATCTCGATCTCAGATGATCTAACAATGACTTTATATATAATTTATTAATTTCATTCACTATATATATATAGTGAATAGAGATGCAAAATTATTATCAAACTCAATTTTACAATTACTTACGGTAAAATTACAGTAAAATGGTAATTTATTGATAATTTTGATAAATTTGTTGTTTCTTATAGTTTTATGCACAAATAGACTGTATTTTCGTACTTATGTATTGTATAAAATTATACAATCATTCAATATTTCTAATAGGAATCGCTGATAGAATAACAGGGCTATTGATTAAATCTAAACGTACCCTACTGAAAAAAATTACATTACAAAGTTACGTAATGAAATCATGTAATTAAAACATGTAAAACACGCAATGGATTGTTCCAAAATCAGTCCTTGATTTTTTAAAATCACGTAATTTGAAAGGTTAAACGATGATATATTTTTTCTTCTATTTCTATCATTTAATTTTATAAGTTTAAAAGGTATGAAAAATATAGTTTAAGACTACTGTACCTGTCACACTTTTTTTTTCAAAATTTTAATAACTTATTTGAAGTTTTTCTAGTTATTTATACGTACCTATATAGTTTCTTAATTATTATATCTCAATATGTAGTATCAAAACAAAAATTTAAATTAAATAAAGTGTTTTTAAACTTTTTAACTTAATGACTAAATACTCTTATATCAAATTACTTTATTTTTATAACTCTTTTAAATTATCATTTTACCAGCCTCCATAAATTACTGACTAATTTACCGAGTAAATTATCGTAAAATTTGATCATTTTCATCTCTATATAGTAAATGAAATTAATAAACCATGTATAAAGTCATTCTTAGATCATCTGAGATTGAAATTTTTATCATGATCAAAAAATGACATAAATTCATCAAATTGACATTATTTGATTTTCTTGCTCTCCTTGGATTAATCTAAAACTAGACCTTAAATAAATAAAGATCTTAAATTAAAGATCGGATTATGAATAATTTCCAATCCTTTTTTTTCATCTCAGGCTGATTTGAATCGACTACCTCAATCGACGATTAATTCAACCGACAGAATCGCTTGAGGCGAAAATTTCTAACTATAATAATTCATCATCCAGTTAATCCATTATTTCATGTATTAAAACTAACATTATAATAATTTTATTAACGTTAACGAAATAACACAGGGCTTTATTGCTCGATTAATTAATCGTCGATTAAGTTAGCCGGAGTTTGATCAAAGTCGCCTTCACGAATTCAATTTCTATTTAAAAAAACGGGGGCTTCGTTTTAGATAAAAGTTATGCATCCCAAGGTATATACACGAAGCATTGCATAGAGGGTCATACATAATAGACCGTGTTCGTAATTAAAAACCAAGTTATCTCGCGAAATTTAATTGTCTCGAAATATCCTTCTGCGCGCGCGGTCTGAACCCTTGGGCCGCCTTGGGGGACGGCGGGGCGACGCGGAATGGGAGGGGGGAGGGTTGTTGCCGAGAATCGAGATCCCTCTTGTGATCCGCGCCTGAGCGAGCGCCGCTTATGCGCGGTGCCCCACGTAGATCGATGCGCGCCGCGGACTTTCGGCCAGCAGCCAGCCAGCCAGTCCGCGCGATACGTGTGTGCGCCGGTCGACACTGGTCGACACTTGCATCCGCAATTGCCTGTCTGGCTTCGCCGATGCCCGGAGGCGTCCCGTCGCGTCGCGTCGTGTCGCGTCCTCTCCAGGGACCCCAGGTCGCACGCTCGCTTCGCCCGTCGTCAAGGACAGGTCCAGCCGATCGCGTCGCTTAGGTAGGACTGTGAAACGTTCGAAGGGCAGAGCCGACGGTCTCTCTGTCCTGCGGTCACCGGGACCAATTGACTCCGTTCGCATCGTCGTCGTCATCGTCGGGGCGACGAGTCGCTTGTCTCGAGGCAGGTCGAGGGGTCAAAACCGGCGACGTTCCCGATTCCGGTGAGTTCAGTAGAACACGCGAGAAACGACCCTGATGGAGCACCGGCACTCCGGAGCGGGTCTTCTCGAGACGGGACGACGGTAGAGGAATTTTATTTTTTGAAAGTTTCCGACGAAACTTGCTAAGTATTTTGCCTACTCAGGCATCGACTTCGCGTTTTTATTTCTCTGCGGGTATCCTGCGGAAGGTATATTTCGTTTATTATACTGGCCGTTTCGCCTTCGGGAGCTCGGCAAGTTGCCAATCGAGGAAGAAGAAGATAGAGAAACGCGAAAAGCGTTTCCACAAAAGATGCAAATCTTGTCGCGAATAGAGCAGCGATCATGTAACTTTTCTTAGCGTAGCTTCCCAGCAAACAGGTTGACGTTATTCGTCGTCGTTTTGACATCAACATGACATTTAAAAAATGATCTAGTAATCATTTTGGGGCCATTTCGACGTCATTTTGATTTGAGAGTATAAAGTTCTGCTTGAGCATAAGTTTCAACCCAGCAAACAAGCTGACGTTATTTGTCGTCGTTTTGACGTTAAAGACGTCAACATGACGTCGAATGGCTCCAAAATGACTACTAAAAGTCGCGTTTATTTCGGTCATTTACGATTCATTTTAACGTCATTTTGACGTCATCGTGATTTGTTCTGCTTAGATTGTGTCCACACTTCATCCGGAACATTCTAGGAACGTCCTCGGAACGTCTTTAGGACGTCTCGTGGAAGTCTGTGCTGTATGAGTGGAAATCGCTCCGAGACGGAGACAAAATTGATCATTCGATTGTCAATCGATTAGTTGATTGAGCCGTTCAAATACGATTTGTTAATTCTTTCTCCATCCGAGACATTGTAACGATTTCTAGCATTGTGAACAAAAGGCTTAAGAAACGAGATTCCTTCGGAGATCTCGAATTCCCAGATCGGTTCACAGAGCACGACGCTGTAGCCTACAAAAGATGCGCTTCCTGTCGCGAGCAGAAAAGCAATCATGTAACTTTTATCTTGGAGCAGAAGCGTGAAAAGTCAAAAGTTTCTTTCCCCCCCCCCCCCACCCCCGTACAGACCTTCAAAGGATATCCTGAGAACATCAAGAAGACGTCTCTACGTTAAGAACGTTCTCGGATAAAAGACCCGTTTTTTTTCATACCCCAAGACTGAACTCGCACTGTTCTTTGAAAAGAAAAGGAAGAAAGATGAACCGTACAAGAAGTTCAGTTCCGGGGAAAAAAACAGGTCTATGGTCTGTTGTGTGACCTTCATTGACAACAATTTCCACTTTTCACGTTTCCGCTTTAGGAAAAAATAAGTTACATGATTATTACTCAGACGTGGTTCGTCCAAACTTTTGGGAAGATCACTCTAATCTCAGAGAAGTCGGCACGACGGAGGGAAACCTTCGGAACGATTATCGCGGTCGCGAAAACCGGAAACACGCCGGTATCAATCCCTCTGAACTCTGTGACCTCTTCAGCATGGAAGCTATCTAATACGGTTTATTTTTCGTGTAGGAAGCTAGCGTGCCATGAAGGCCCGTCGTCGTCGCCGTCGCGAGGAATGACTCGCTGCTAGGAAGTCGTGATAATTGCGTGGTGCCTGCTGATGTCAGCGGTGACTACTACGAGCCTCGTCGCCGAGGTCAACGGGAGCAGCGGAAGGAATCTTCGAGGATAGGGTGCAATCACCTCATTGATCGAGCGCGAGAATAATGAGAATCAACGCGACGAAGATGAGCACTCCGATCGAGGAGAAGATTGACCAGAAGCTGAAGGTACGGACTTACTCGGAGGATTAGAGGAACCAGGATTAAGTCGTTCTCCATCTCTTCATCTTTCTCCCTTTCTTACACTCTCCCCCCCCCTCTCTCTCTCTCTCTCTTCCTCTTCCTCGTTGTCCGCCGATCTTCGATGATCAATAATGTATCTGCACTCGTATTTGCACTTGGCCGCATGCTTCGGATGCAGCACGCGTGCATTAATCCCGATCGGGGAAGCGTCTCGAGGAAGTGCCGCTCGCTATGCGGCGCAGATGTGCGGCCGGATATTCCTGGATGGCCTCTCGTGTATCGAACACTTCGTGTCTCGGGGGCGAAATGAATCGAAGCTCCGACTCGGAATTAACTTGACAACTATACTCCCGAAGGATCGATTCAAGATCCTTCGATCGATAACACTTCCATCCAGTTGAAACCGAATAGGTTCTAATTTTTATTTTCTATTTTCTAATTTCTATTTTCACCTTCCGTTTCCCTTGATATTAAGACTCGATATTTTAAATTTGACGTTATTTCTTTAACTCTCTGGAGTCGAAGATGAGTCTATTGAACTCACTCGATTATAAATCTCTTTGTCAAAATGTGAAACAATACAATTTTTATGTTACGTCTGCAAATTTTGGTCTCATTAAATTCTTATTAAAATATATTTATAGCAAATTCGATTGGATGCACTTCGGTGCGTACTGGGTACACATTAAAACCGTCGTACACAAATTGACGTAAAAATGTGGGTTTGATATACCTAAATATAGAAATGAATTAAACCGCGAAATCCTCAATCACTTTATTGTGCCGGTAAAATTTGTATTTTATAAACCGAAATATTTGCATTTCACTTCTACAATACATTCAGATTAAATCAGTGTAAGGCTTTTAATATGCACCAGTGCGCGCTGTTCAATCGAATCCGTTATTGATATTTCTTCTTTTTTTTATACGAGGTGTACCGTTTTGATTTCTTGAAATTGATTAGAGTCTTTTATCAATTATTAATTATTTTATAAATTATTTTATAAATTATAATATAAATGAGTCTTACAGACCCAGCATCACGGAGAGAACTTTTTGCTGAAGTATCTAAAAATTTAGTTAAATACACGTTTACAGAAAATAATTTTGTTGGACCATTAAAATATAAATTACGTAGGAAACTCAAGCATGAGCAGTGCTGCAAAAAGTTTCGTCATTCTAGCAACCAGCGTCCTACATAATTAGTTTGATGGTCCAACAAAATTGTTTTCAGATATATCTGTGTATCTAGCTAAATTTTTATTTTAATAAAACTATCTGTGCAACAACTGTGTTACAGATTGTGACTTCAACTCCGGAGAGTTAATACGGATTTATATGTATTTCCTTGATATAATATGATTGTATTAATAATGACGTCATTCATTTTTCCTATTTTTTCGTTACGTTTTAAATTTGAGAAAATTTAAAACGTAATATAGTGCTATTTGCAGAAGGGTTAATTTCATTTTATCTCGCCTGTTTCTGCCTAGCGTTTTCGGTTTCGTTTATCCGCGTTTTCATTCAACGTTAATATACGTCACAGTCACGGTGGCATTTGCCGCTACATGCTATGTACGCGAACGAGGGCCTGGGTGTTTTTGCATACGATAAAAGCGGATGAAAGGTCAAAAGAGCTGTGTATGCGACCGTGGTGCAATTTAGCTGGGTCGCGTTGCACGTAACTTGCGACGGTCTCATTACCGTCGTTCTCCCGGCGTAGATACACATACAGTACGTATGTACTGATGAAGTAATATCATTGGAATTTCCCATAATTAGATGGACATTTTTAAACCAGTCAATCGTTCGTGTATATAGAGATAATTTAAACTAATTTAACGCTGCGAGAAGGCAGCCGGTTTAATTTGCTCATCTCCCAAAATGAAGCACAATGGCACGTAACAAATTAACTTTTAAAAACGAATTCTTCTTCATTACATAAGTTAACTGTTATTTCGCTCTGTATGCGCGTGAAAACGGGACATTCTCTCGTAATTCGAAATGCAAATAAATGAATGGATTTTAACATTTCATCGTATTTTTAGACATTAATCGGATAAGAGGACACGCACAACCGAGAGTGTTGTACTTCGGACTTGTGAAAATTTCATGGACCAGTATTATCTCGTCAGTCGTCATCGGTTGACGTATCTCGCTAATCGCTCCAGTCGCGTGCACATTCCTATGTCATCCTGATTAAATTCCCAGCGCTACAGGTGCACGAAATGTTTTTCGATCGCACGACATTAACGTTGTTAATCTCCCGTGAAGGACGGATGGCTCGCCGGAAAATAGTGAGGGAGGTCTCGCCGCGTCTCCCTTCTACGGTCTCTTATGCGGAATCAATCGTGGCCTCATCAATTTCCTTTTAAATTGTAACTATACGGTATAGATGTAGTGATAGACTGTAGAATCGACACCGATATTGGTAGAATCGATCCGTGGCCCATTCTCATAAACGTCGGTTAAAGATAAGTTTAGGTTCTTACATCCCCACATTTCTAAGTCTTTGTTCTTGTAGTTGGAAAATTTATGTTAAATTTAACACATTTCACGGTCCACCCAAATTTTTGTGTTAATTTAACATAAGATGAGTATGCTAGAAAGTAACATAAATATTATGTAAAAAATTAACACAAAAAATTTAATACTGACACAGTTTGTAAGCAAATTGTAGAAGCATATTTCTTCAGTTAAATTTAACATTTATAATATGTTAAATTAACACATTTTATTTATTTATCTTAGAATTTATTTTTTTAATTCATTATTTTTATGTTAATTGTTTACTTATAAATTGTGTGATTTTAACACTTAGAGAAATGTTGAATATTAATATAATACAAAATGTTTCAGTAACATAAAATCACATTATGTTAAATTAACACTCGGACATTAAAATTCAACACAAAAATTTTAATAAGTCGATTTTAACACGAATACATTTTTAACTGTGTTCACTGGATTACATTAAAATTTCTTTCTTTCTTTTATGCGGCGCCAAACTTCAAATATATATTTATTTTATTTTAAGTACAACGAGTGTATATTAGTTCCACCAAGAATAGACTTTAAATGTATATGAATGTAAAGCTGGAGGGAAAATTGGGAGAAATCGGCTTAAATCTTTGCTAACTTTAACGAACGCTCGTACGGGGAAATTGGCCCCCATGCGTCGAAATTGGCTCTCCGGACGCTTTAATATCGCTGGATTCTACACGCCGGGGTTTATGGCCTGGAAAACCCCAAATATAGCGTTTAATTGATGTCTTCGCAGAAGCGAGCCTTATCGTTCGCTTTGATAAACGCTCCCGCATACCGCAAATTGGCAGTTCGGTGTCTGCCGTCCAACACGACTCCGTGGAAAAGATCGATATCTTCTCCTGCCGCCGGTACGAGCAACGCTTAATCACTTTTACGTTAATAACGGAGTAATGTCGTATCGTACTTCTGAATTATAAATTGGTATATCCAAAGATAACGTAACGCAGTGGAGTTTCGTTTTTATCTTCTCGGAAGCGATTTTGTCACGTTCCAGCAAAGTTCTTTATTCTGTGTATCCTATAACGATCGAACGTTTCATGTTCATTTTTCGATGAAAAAGAGAGGAATACAAATGACACGGACATCGATCATTTTTGCGCTGCGCATTTTCGGTCATTACAGAAAAGCCTGTCAGAACGAGAGGAATGCAAAACCCGATAATACTCAGCGCGATGTAAATTTGTAGGAAAATGTACGCAACGGAAAACGTGTAACTTCTGTCGAAATTGGAGTTGAACTTTTGCTCCGTCATTAATTTTACGCAAATAAAATGCAAAATTAACGCACGCAATTACGCGGCATATAACTCACGACGAGAAAACGTTGTAATAAGATTACGAAAAGAATTAATTGACGATGATACTCAGCCATTATTAAAACGTTCGTTTAAAATGAAAGAACGATTTTGCTGAAGTATCTAAAAATTTAGCTAGATACGGATTGGAAAATAATTTTGTTAAATTATCTAAATAATTAGACATAGGAAACTCAAACATGATGAGCAATGCTGCAAAAAATTTTGACATTCTACACTAAGAGAAAAGAATTTTGATATTTTTATAACTATAATTACATGTTATTATAATTATAATCAATCTATTATAATGTTATAATAATATATATAATAACTATATGTATAGTTCTATCAACAAATATACATACGAATAGTTGGCAACCAAATACTGGATACTATAAAGAATATGGTTACATTTACTATAATTTAACTATAATTTATAGTAATTTTATGGGGGACAACCATAAAAAATACGTTAAATTAGAATAAATGCAACCATTTTAATGATAATAACAACTATAATTATAGTTATTTTTTTGTTTCCAATTATATATTTGTTAACAGAATTACATATAATTATTACTGACTGATATATTATAATTAAATTATAACATGTAATTATAGTCACAAATATCAAATATTTTTCTCTTATTGTAGCAACCAATGAACGTTCTATATATTATAGTTATTTTGATAATCCAATAAAATTATTTTTAGATCTGCATCTTTTAAAAACGAATTCTTCTTCATTACATAAGTTAACTGTTATTTCGCTCTGTATGCGCGTGAAAACGGGACATTCTCTCGTAATTCGAAATGCAAATAAATGAATGGATTTTAACATTTCATCGTATTTTTAGACATTAATCGGATAAGAGGACACGCACAACCGAGAGTGTTGTACTTCGGACTTGTGAAAATTTCATGGACCAGTATTATCTCGTCAGTCGTCATCGGTTGACGTATCTCGCTAATCGCTCCAGTCGCGTGCACATTCCTATGTCATCCTGATTAAATTCCCAGCGCTACAGGTGCACGAAATGTTTTTCGATCGCACGACATTAACGTTGTTAATCTCCCGTGAAGGACGGATGGCTCGCCGGAAAATAGTGAGGGAGGTCTCGCCGCGTCTCCCTTCTACGGTCTCTTATGCGGAATCAATCGTGGCCTCATCAATTTCCTTTTAAATTGTAACTATACGGTATAGATGTAGTGATAGACTGTAGAATCGACACCGATATTGGTAGAATCGATCCGTGGCCCATTCTCATAAACGTCGGTTAAAGATAAGTTTAGGTTCTTACATCCCCACATTTCTAAGTCTTTGTTCTTGTAGTTGGAAAATTTATGTTAAATTTAACACATTTCACGGTCCACCCAAATTTTTGTGTTAATTTAACATAAGATGAGTATGCTAGAAAGTAACATAAATATTATGTAAAAAATTAACACAAAAAATTTAATACTGACACAGTTTGTAAGCAAATTGTAGAAGCATATTTCTTCAGTTAAATTTAACATTTATAATATGTTAAATTAACACATTTTATTTATTTATCTTAGAATTTATTTTTTTAATTCATTATTTTTATGTTAATTGTTTACTTATAAATTGTGTGATTTTAACACTTAGAGAAATGTTGAATATTAATATAATACAAAATGTTTCAGTAACATAAAATCACATTATGTTAAATTAACACTCGGACATTAAAATTCAACACAAAAATTTTAATAAGTCGATTTTAACACGAATACATTTTTAACTGTGTTCACTGGATTACATTAAAATTTCTTTCTTTCTTTTATGCGGCGCCAAACTTCAAATATATATTTATTTTATTTTAAGTACAACGAGTGTATATTAGTTCCACCAAGAATAGACTTTAAATGTATATGAATGTAAAGCTGGAGGGAAAATTGGGAGAAATCGGCTTAAATCTTTGCTAACTTTAACGAACGCTCGTACGGGGAAATTGGCCCCCATGCGTCGAAATTGGCTCTCCGGACGCTTTAATATCGCTGGATTCTACACGCCGGGGTTTATGGCCTGGAAAACCCCAAATATAGCGTTTAATTGATGTCTTCGCAGAAGCGAGCCTTATCGTTCGCTTTGATAAACGCTCCCGCATACCGCAAATTGGCAGTTCGGTGTCTGCCGTCCAACACGACTCCGTGGAAAAGATCGATATCTTCTCCTGCCGCCGGTACGAGCAACGCTTAATCACTTTTACGTTAATAACGGAGTAATGTCGTATCGTACTTCTGAATTATAAATTGGTATATCCAAAGATAACGTAACGCAGTGGAGTTTCGTTTTTATCTTCTCGGAAGCGATTTTGTCACGTTCCAGCAAAGTTCTTTATTCTGTGTATCCTATAACGATCGAACGTTTCATGTTCATTTTTCGATGAAAAAGAGAGGAATACAAATGACACGGACATCGATCATTTTTGCGCTGCGCATTTTCGGTCATTACAGAAAAGCCTGTCAGAACGAGAGGAATGCAAAACCCGATAATACTCAGCGCGATGTAAATTTGTAGGAAAATGTACGCAACGGAAAACGTGTAACTTCTGTCGAAATTGGAGTTGAACTTTTGCTCCGTCATTAATTTTACGCAAATAAAATGCAAAATTAACGCACGCAATTACGCGGCATATAACTCACGACGAGAAAACGTTGTAATAAGATTACGAAAAGAATTAATTGACGATGATACTCAGCCATTATTAAAACGTTCGTTTAAAATGAAAGAACGATTTTGCTGAAGTATCTAAAAATTTAGCTAGATACGGATTGGAAAATAATTTTGTTAAATTATCTAAATAATTAGACATAGGAAACTCAAACATGATGAGCAATGCTGCAAAAAATTTTGACATTCTACACTAAGAGAAAAGAATTTTGATATTTTTATAACTATAATTACATGTTATTATAATTATAATCAATCTATTATAATGTTATAATAATATATATAATAACTATATGTATAGTTCTATCAACAAATATACATACGAATAGTTGGCAACCAAATACTGGATACTATAAAGAATATGGTTACATTTACTATAATTTAACTATAATTTATAGTAATTTTATGGGGGACAACCATAAAAAATACGTTAAATTAGAATAAATGCAACCATTTTAATGATAATAACAACTATAATTATAGTTATTTTTTTGTTTCCAATTATATATTTGTTAACAGAATTACATATAATTATTACTGACTGATATATTATAATTAAATTATAACATGTAATTATAGTCACAAATATCAAATATTTTTCTCTTATTGTAGCAACCAATGAACGTTCTATATATTATAGTTATTTTGATAATCCAATAAAATTATTTTTAGATCTGCATTTAGCAAAATTTTTAGATACTTCAGCAAAACTATTCTTTCTGTATAAAATATAGAATGTGATATTTGCGGGTGCCTTAAAAATATAAAGTCATAAATATAGTTATGATATAGAGTTTATATTACAGCTTATATTAAAATATATTTCACGGATTTCATGAAAATTTATTTCTCTATTTGTAGAAACGTTACTGATTTGTTTTTCATAATTCTATAGAACCTCGACGCTTCAGCGTTCCGATAATAATTAATTAGCGTCGGATTAATTGGAACGGACAAATTGTTAACGATGATAAATGACGCTGCGAACTCGTTTACTAAAAATATAGCATATATAATTGCATTAAAATAGATCCGCCGTGTCCCGTTTTGCCGATTTAACGGGCTGAGAGTCTCTCGTTTATCGGCCATCGTTTCCGATTGTCACTTAATATACATAGCATGCGCAATCGACAAGTTTAGCGTCTCTTCGGGACATTCGAGGACCCAATCTAGTGCAATTTTTCTTTGACACGAGCGAAATCGATCTCATTCGCTGTAACGCGAAAGCGTAGATTTAGTTTGCTCTTTTTTCGAATACTTTTAAAATTAGTTTTTCATATGCATGGCATATTAAATTCCCGTGAAATGAATTTGCCCGACGTATATTTTGTATCCTGTTTTCTTTGCATTCCAATTTTTTATCTAAAAATGCAACGTCGATTAATGCATAATAATTATTCTGCCTGTCCTGTAAAAGAAAAAAAAAAATTGACGATGTTCGCGACGAAACTATCTCTTCGTCGATATTTTTCGTGAGAACAGTTCGCTTTCCGGATTGATCAAAGAATTCATCAATTATGAATAGCTCGTTGAAATTCTCGCTGTCAAGTTGCGATACGCCCGCGAATGCTACCTTCCTTAATCATTTAGCTATTCTTCCTTAGATCACTTATAGCTGTCATCATCGGGGAAAAGAGTATGACCGGAATTGGATTTGCAGGAGAATAATTTAGAGAGCCTTCGTATTGAGAAAAGGAAAAATCGATTAATTGAACAAAGACACAGCGAGTCGTCGTTACACGGAGGAAACTGTCCTCGTAGATATTTGCAAATCACGAGGACGGAACGTGGTTACTCTCGAGCCGCATGGCAAATTGACAAATATGAATTAATTTAAACCGATCTATTGCGGTCTTGCGGGTTAACTGTAGCGTGGGGGTGGATTGTCGGTTCGCCCGGCGGCAAATGGGAAATAACGTAATAACGATAATGCTGTTTGGACTAATTAAGGCCGATCGTTGCCCAATGAATACAGATATTCCATTAAGAATTTATCGAGATACTTTCTCATGCATAAATGCATGCTCGGCTGTACAATGACACTGCACGGTTTAATCAATCAATATTGCCGGAGCTCATTAGTTATCGTTATCACTGTAATACAATATAACAACAGCGTTTTTCCCTTTAATCTTCGAACTATTTCCGCATCGAGTGCATCGTTTCTGAGAATTCTTCTAAGATAACTTTTATTCCTTCTCTTTGCAATCCCCCGGGTCTTACTTTTCCTATTTCAATTTCCTGTTGCAAACTGCTTTGTTGAGTTAATATATGGAAGATTGTATCATACATATTATTTTTAGATGTAAAAATTGTCACAATATTGTATACTTCTAAGAAATTGTCTTGACAAATTAATTTGTTGAATGATGAACAGTCAATTAATGCGATTGATCACAATTTAATATTTACAAAGCAGAAATATCCCGAATATATTATATGGATAATTTGCAGAGGTCGCGATATCTTTAGGCTGTCCCTGTGACATAATTTGGACATTTCTGCTGTATCGGTAAAGTCAATATAATTTGAACATTTTTGCTGTATGTATATATAAAGTCAGTTCATATTACTCCCTTCAAAAATGACACAAAAAATTGAGTATCTCAAGCTATTTTTTAAAAATGACATTTGATTCTTCAAATCAACACAAAAGATTAGCAATTAACAAGAATCAAATGTCATTTTCGTTTTACAACCCTTAAAAAACTATTCTTTCTTATGACGATTTAAAAACCTTTTTTAACTGTGACGATTTTGACAATTTTTAATGTAGCTAATTCACTGATAATTTTGGTAGTTGATAAGATAATGTTTGAAAATTGTATTCTTTGAGTTGTATTTTACTTTTAAAATAAGGGAACGATATATCTTCAAAGTCCTTTTAGATATAAACGTATATTTTTTCTTCAAACATTTCCAACGAATAAAGTGGAAGCAATTTTACGACAGATAGCTTTTGTCAATTTGATTTTATTATCGATAGGTGCGGACGGGGATGGTGACGGTCAGCGATGGAAAGAGTAAACCCGTGCCGATGCGTTTGCACTTGTCTATGGAGGTATTGAAGCTTCAACGGGAGGATCTCGAGGTAGAGTGCCTTTCGATAACCGTGTTATCATCTATTTCCCGAATGAATGATGTTCAATCGTCTCCCGCCGGTGCTTTATCGATCACGGGCGATATAAAACGTGTCAAAGACAAGAATACATTTTAGCAGGCAGCGAATCACAATAAGCCACCCTTGGACGCTAAGGAACGCATGGTGCAAATCACCAGGCAAAAGGTCGGTGGTTTGGGGCTGAGTATAAAGGGTGGAGCGGAACATAAGCTTCCTGTACTCATATCGAGAATTTATAAGGGTCAGGCCGCCGATCAGTGTGGCCAGCTTTTTGTTGGGGATGCAATTATTAAAGGTATTAACGACAAATAATTTTCATGTCAATATACAGATTGTTATCAAACTTATCACCAGTGCGAGAAATATTATTTTATATATTATTATTTGTATTGCCTATTCTATGTATTACCTAAAGGATTATTTTTTCATTCAAATAATGATAAAATATTTAATAATATAAGCATGATATCCGCTATTAATACTTGTTTCTTATTATTTGAATCGATTACAGTTACGCGACAGTTGACAGTTTCACGATAGTTGAACGGCACTATGTACAATTAATGATTATCGATTTCAACTTCTGCTTCTGCCAATGCCCGTACTTATTGAAACGAAAGTTGACTTCAATTTTATTCCACATAATATTTGCAGCGATCAGGATCTACCACATACGATTCTTTATTTATAACAGTGTTATAAACAATAGAAGAATATTTTAGATTACGTAATTCGTCTTCTATGATTCTTTAGTGAATGGCGAGTATATCACGGCGTGTGAATGCCGGTGATATAGTAGTTCTAACGGTCAAGCATTATCGAGCGGCCAAACCATTTCTACAAAAGAACGGTACTGCATTATATATTATATATTGTCGTAAAAAATAACATATGACAATGAGAGTTCGTGCATCCTTTTGATATTTTAATCTTATCAACAGAGAAGGAAGAAAAGCTAGATAATGTTGCCAATGGTACGGCGGAAGACGGATGGATATCGCCTAACAGACAAGGGGGTAGTCCTAGATGCAGTCATAGCCGTCAAAGTTCCAATGCATCTTCCAGTTCGATGCAATATAAAAGATGGGTGGACGTAATTACAGGTAGCTATATGTGTATCAAATATTTAGAATCTTCAAAATCAAATCCTCTTTCGTATCTTTATATCCCATTTAGTGTCACATATGTGAAAATTTGGATTTTACTTTATATGCACGGAATATTTTAAATATTAAAAAAGATTGCCGCAATCAATGTGTCCATGATGCTAGAAATCGCTCCGAGATCAAAGATGAAGAAAGATTTGACTAATCGCATTGGTTGAATTGTTCAAATGTGATTTATTAATTCTTTCTCCGAGATCTTGGAGCGATTTCTGTTATCCTGAACACAAGACTTGAGATTAACTGTAAGAATTTGAAGTAATCACAATTCAGATGCCGAATATGAAAGTAGGGGCTCTTGTTTGTAGTACATAATAATTAATGTGACACTTTTTTAGTTCCGTTAATGATGGCATATGTGACGAGATACATATTCGGCACTGACAAACTAAGGAGAAACGCATTCGAAGTGAGAGGACTTAACGGGGCACGTACAGGAGTGATACATTGCGATGATAGTGCTATTCTCAGCCAATGGTTAAAATATATAACTGATAACATTACAGGATTGACACATTTGCAGGTGATGCAAACAATATGACTGTAATATTGCCATGTTTTTCTGCATGTAAAACTTCAAGTTGTTTTATTAATTAACTATTTGATGCTGAGCTTGAATTCAATTCCAGATGAAATTGTACAATCGTAATTTCGGAGTTGGCGAACGCATAGAGTATATGGGCTGGGTGAACGAAGCAGTGAGTAATAGCAATCAACCCTGGCAGAGTTACAGACCGAGATTCTTGGCTCTAAAAGGACCTGATCTATTGCTATTCGAGACACCTCCTGTATGTGTCAGTTCCTTTTATTTTAGTAACTTTGAACTTTTAAAAAGTTGTCGATTTATTAATATGATGAAGAATTGAATTAAATCGTTCTTATTGTTGTTTCCAGTGTAATATAGGCGATTGGTCACGCTGTGCATTGACTTTCAAAGTGTACCAGACGATGTTCCGCGTGATGCGCGAATCGGAGAATGTGGATGAGCGGCAGCATTGCTTCTTGGCGCAGAGTCCGGGAAAACCACCGCGTTATTTGAGCGTTGAGACCAGGCAAGAACTTCTGCGGGTCGAGGCGGCGTGGCACACCGCTATATGTTCAGCTGTTGCATATTTAAAGGTCCGTTATGACACGCGTAATGATTTCTCCAAATTATTTTTATCGTTATCATTCTTCTCTCACGTCTTTCTTTTCTTATTGCAGAGTAAAACATTCCCGGTAACTTTCAACAGCAGAAGTGCCGGTCTAACGTTAGAGTGGACTCAAGGATTTACGTTATCGTATGAAGGAATCGGCGAGATCATGTGGCGTTACAAGTTTTCTCAATTAAGAGGGTCCAGCGACGACGGTAAAAGTAGACTTAAATTGCATTTCCAAGAGCCAGACAGCATTACTATCGAAACGAAGGTAAATACAAATTTTTGATGACTGAAAGATTTATTGCGACACTGTAGTCCAAATCATTCTTCTTTTAAAAGAAGATTAAATATAATTTCTCGATTGAGAGATTGCTCTTTCAAATTTATGGGTAAAAATAGATTAACCTTTGCAGGAAGGCTTTATAGTGACGCTGAAACAATGTCATATTTTTAGGCAAGAAGTACAATAAAATAATGAATAATAAATCTTACTTAAGGAAAAGGTGTAAGATTTTAAAAATAGACTTCCATTCCTTAACGGTTAAAGAGATCAGTGTTGCATTCAATCTTTCAACTTGCTTTCCTTATACGCATAGAGGAATGTGTATTTATGTTTTGCGTACATTTCAACAGGAATTGGAGTGTTCCCAGTTGCAAAACTTGTTGTTCTGTATGCATGCGTTTCTTACCGCGAAGGTAGCCGCGGTAGACCCTACGTTTTTAACGTCGACCACTCCGTAATGAGATGTAATATAAATTTAATAACGTTATTGCCGACGAATCACCAAGTGGATCACTTTTGTGTTCTGTTATCGTTGTACGGATTAGATCGTGCGCTGAAAAGTTGCTGGGAAATGCAAGAAAAGAACGAGGAAGAGAAAGCGACAGAAACTAGTCAATATCCAAAAGGTATTTTTATCGTTTACATATAAAAATCACCAAGCGGTACTATATACTCTACTCATCCTACCAAAAGCCAATTTCATTAGTATATATATGAATCTAACGGCTATTATCGTATTGTACGCATGTAAGTATAAGAATTCTCGTGAGTTTCTAGAAGCAACAGTAATATATTTATGAATGCCCAACTACGATGTGATTATGTTAACTGCTTTTGCTACACTGCTTTTGCTATTTATTCCTTTTTGAATTTTTTTAGGAACACGTAATCTCAAGTATATATGATTATATACATAATTTACTCCTACAAATGCATTTTAATTATATTTTAGTAATGCTGTTTCAGCTAGAAATAATATCTCAGTTGCGCTTCTGTTATAATATCGTGTGTCTGAAATCTTAAGCTGATAATTCGAATTTATATATATAGGAATCAACACACAAGTGGGTTCATGATTTTTAAGTTACAATAATAGCGAATAATTTTCTTAGTTATACAACAAATTATTTGTATACTTACATTGTATTGCGTACCATACATATATACAGGTGCCTTAAAAACCATGAACAAGAAGTAGCTAAATTAAAGGAGGCATCAACTTTTCGTTTCTCATCAATGAGAAAAGAATCGTATTATACATTCGTATATTCAGAGTATTTATAAAAAAGCAAGAGTTATTGCATTTCAATACAGACGTTCTAATTTGTCATCTTAATGAAATGCTTTAAAGAGTATAATTGAATTGAAAGAAAATAATATTGATTCGTCCATCCGACAAAATGTCAAAATAATATAATATATAATTGCTCTACAGCAATAAATTATAATCTACAATTAGACGGCTCACTCAAAAGTAACGTCGGATATTGAAATAGTTTGTTTATCGATACAGTATTATCGATGGGGGCAATAAGTTCTACAAATTAAGCATGGGTACCATTATCACATAATCCTTCATTTGCAAACTGGGTCTTTTTTGCCTAGTCTAAATTTTTTTACTGTTCTCGGCTTTCAAAAAAATTCAAGATTTCTTTCCAATATTTTAATTACATTTACTAAATAGTTTTTAACTCAAATATTAAAACCTTTAATTGATAAAAATTAAAATTTTGAGCAAAAATGAGGGTGAAATTTGAGAATGAAATTTTGCTTGTGCCAAAAAAGACTCGGATTGTAGACGGAGAGCTACAGTTGTAACTGTTAGCTGTACTTCCCTGTAGATGCAACAGCTATGTTTTACAAATCGTTTAATGTTTAACGATTTGTGGAAATTCATCTATATAGAATATATAGATATTTCTGATTGTGAGAGAATGTCGTATGTGCAGAAAGCTTATTTGATACATAATGGATATATGAATGTTTCGACAGCTCGACAGATCTATAGTGTCTTTAATGAATATATCAATTATCTCTTTCCAATCATTAGCTATAGCGATAGATTTAACACTGTATATTATTATGTGACTATCTTACATTGATTCGCAATTATATTTAAAGCAATAAATCCGTAATGAACGAACAACTAGAAAGAAACAATAAAAAAGTAGGATACATATAAATATATATACACATATATACAATAATGATAAGAGAACTGCATACAGTAATTATAAAGCAAGAAATAAAGTATTATTCTCGATAGCAGTCGCGAGAATAAATTGCACGTTTTCCAACGTTTGCCTAATTATTCTTTAGTTTCTTAAATGTAAGACGGACGGTCACGTTGCGTCACATGGAGATGATGTGAAACTAATTTTAATGTCGAGGAAACGTTTTGATTTCCATCGTATGTATTTCGAGAGTCTCCCGTTACTCGTAGAAAGTGCCTACAAAGTAACATAGAGAAAATGTAAAGAAAGGTCCGCTCTTCTATTATATCACAGCGTGTTTAACGCCAATTGTACTTTTCTAGTCTACAAAACGTCAGGATCTTTTACGTGATATCTACGGACAAAGTATTCATTATCGTTCTCGATTGCAAGGACCTAAAATATTCGAACGAAAACAACCATCGTTTCTCGATGAATTCATTGTCATCGTCACACGAACGTTTATCATATAAAAATGTACCTTTGCCTATACATCTTTCTGAATGTTTTTTTTCTCGATCGATATAATATATCGTAGTAATATAATAAGAATTAAATGATATCCGATCTTGACTTTAACCACAGAACGACGCTGATGATTTAAGCGCTGTGTTTAATGACTTAAAACTGATTATGGCTTGTTATAAATTTTTAGCACGAAGCATTTCTATATATCGAACTTAAAGTTTAACGCTTTAATTCTTATCAACATAATGTTTAATTTTTGAAATTAATTGGGAGATTTAATTTGCTAATATTTTATTATTTAACGTTGAATAACTGTTTTCTTTTCTCGACATTATCAATATTCATCGTGCGTTTTCTGTGCTTAAAGTCAAGAGAATTACCAAGAACTGCACAATTATTCTATATAAGTAAGTTAATTAAATAAGAATGGAATGGAGCTGGAAAAGATCTGAGGCGCGATCAGGTCTAGATTACAGTCATTTATCGAAACTACAGGTTGTTCTAAAACTAGTGGATCGTTAAATCCCTAATATAATGTATACTCTGTTAAAAAACATCACGAATCAATGAAAATTCCCTTATATTTCTTAAACTTTATTTTATCTTGATCAAGTTGTAAGAGTAAATTTTTTGTGAAGGTTGTTAATTTAATTTTTTTGTATCTGTTTAACAGTGTATCTTTCCGAAACTGTTCATTTGTGCGATTTCCCAGATTTAGCTCGTTCCTATAAATAAGTTATACAATGTAGAAAATAGCTGTACACGCGAAATACTTTGCCTACAAACTTGCTGAATATTCAACTAATTTCTTTCGGCGAGCGTTCGCGATTCCAAATCCAATCATGGCGTTTCGTATTCAAATTCATTTATCATGTTCATCTTTCTTCGCCTTCATACGCACTTATACCGGATGGAATAGCGAACTCGTGGCGCTGGCTAACATTAATATCGGAATCTTATATTTCGAAATATAGTTTATCTGTTATAATGTCTATATCCCCCATTGACAATATGTTCCAAAATATATCATTGTTAGAAGTTACAAATCTGTCGCGTTCTTAATTACCTACTTTATGGGTCAATTCTAAGCAGAATCGTAAGATTCGTAACGTGTTCTCGTAAAACTTGTAAGAACTTATGACTAGTATTCTAATTTTATCGTAAGACGTACGATTATTTGTAAATATCTACCATTTCTTGTAAATTTTATGGCTAGTAAGAAGCCGTCCGTAAAAATATTGTTTAAAGATATAAGCACTAAAAAATTCTTACAAGTCTTACAATAATATATTACGAGCCTTACGATTCTACTTAGAATGTAGGTATTAATTTTTTCTCTATAATCACCTTTATATGTATATTGCATTATACAATTTAAAAATAAGAGATTTTTTTAATTAACAATTATTTGATAAGATGTTCAAGTCATATTAAAATTTTTCGTATATCATGTTTCTATTAAATTAATATATTTATTTATTTTATTGAATTAATAATGCATTTTTGTTTAATTAACTTCTAGATAAGAAACATTACAATTAAATGATTTAACTGTCATGTTTTTTATTTCAAAATTAATGTAGAAGTTTAAATACTAATAATTATTATAATACTTATAATTAATAACTTCCCATACAACGAGAAATTATCTCCGTCATTTCAATTTTTATACAAATTGATAGATTAAATTCAATTGATAAATTAAATTCATTTTATTTTTTAAATCGAACTCTATTTCGAATTCCATTGAATTTCAAATGTTTGGAAATTATTTATGGGATTAGTTTGAAGTAGAAATTGACTACATTTCTCGAAAAATCACCAAAAGTTGTGAGAACATGTTTCCGCATCTCGAAAAATTGTCCAAGTTCTGAGAATATATATTTCGACGGGAATTTATCACGATACCGGTTCAAGATTTGCGCCTTCCGGAAGGAAAGATGTCATGAACCAATCAGAGGGCCGCATTAGCGACTTAAGACATTACTTAAGACGGTCTTGAAATAAGAACCGACTATGAATATCAGCCTATGAAATCCACCAATCATCCATTAAGCAGCCATATTTAGTCCACAAATTAGTTCATGATTGGTTGCTAATCACGTGATTAAAATGACCGTTGCAATGACCAATCAGAACACTTAACGCCAGTCGCGCTTCTCTTATAGATTGGGCTGCGTTTCGTTATTCACTGTCAGTACTGGCAACATTGCTCATACCGTTCCAATATATGTCGCAGTACACTTCCAATATACTTTTCCATCTATATGACGTCATAAATTTTTGCGTCACTTCCTACTTCTATTACTGCGACTGGCGAGGTCAGGTAATCGCAGTAAAAAGATGGCGAAATTCAACGAAATGGGAAATCAGGAAAAAATTTGTTTTTTAGATGTCGAAACGAATAATGTCAAAAAGTTATGACATATTAATGAATAAAGTAGATGCAGAAAAAGCACGCAAAGATATGAATATAATTAATAATTCCAAATTTTATCAAAATTTAAAAAATTATTTATTTCTACACAGTCCTACCAAGTATTACTAAATCCGTTTCGTTACGCAACGTTGTAACGTCATAAAAGTACTATTAGTAATTTCAAAACGCTTCTACAGTACTACTTTATGACGTCATATTGTCAGTACTGACAGCGAATAACGAAACGCAGCCATAGAACTCTAGTTTGCGCTACTTTATAAATCTAGTTTATAAATCTAGTAACTTTAGCACACAATCGTCCGATTCCACCACGGGGGCGCAACCGTCGTCAACCCGAGTTCCATTTCATCCTGTTCCGGCCATTTTCCTTCGTGCTCCACTCCGTATTCGCGCGATTCCGAGTGTCACGTTGCGCTTTGTGCGTACGTAGAAGCGTCTCGAGTCGAAGTACGTGGAGTGAACGAGGAAATACAGAAGTCACGGGTTTTTCAAGTGAATCCCTATTGGTTTCTCTTTTCTCTTCTTTCTTTCCGTTTTATATCGGAGATTCGGAGCACACGCACGCCCGCGGCTCTACTCGCGGTAACTCGACGACGACGCGAAAAATTGCGACCCGCGACGCACCACGAGTAGGGAGGGGGAGGCGGCCATCTCCGTGCTCTTCTGATATTTTTTATATTCCACGGTATGTCAGAAGGCGAGGCGTTGCCGCAGAAGAAGCAGCAACAACAACAATCGTTCCATCAGCAGCAGTCACAGATCGGAGCGGGTTCAATGGCGAATATGGCGTGGCAGTACCCGCCGAACAACATGCATAACATGTTTCCACCGTATCCAGGGTGAGTCGCGACGATGGAGTATCAATGTGTCAACGAGAGCAACGGGGAGTCGGCCATATCGGTTGACTCAACGGCAATTCTCGAAATTGGAGTTCCATCCGTCAGACTCGTCATTTCACCATTACGTTCACGCACGCTCACGCAATGCGCGATACACGATCTCGCTTTGATGTCTGAATCATTGAGATTGCTTGCTCGAGACGAATGTAACGCGAGAGACTCTAATGCCCTCATCTGTACATATATTATGTGTACAGGATGATTCATGTCGAGCTTGAAGATTGCATTGTATAATTTCTAACTTTTAGAGTGAAAATTATCATTCTTTTGAGCCAGTCTTGAGACTGGCTCAATTTCCACTCTTTAGTCAAATTTTACTCTAAAGGATTTAGAGAGATGAAACCTTTGTTTTTTTTTTTATGATAATTCTGGATTGGTATACAATGATGCAATAAGTTGGAATGAAACAAGTTCAGCTCTTTCACTTTCTCTCACACTTTCTTTCTCTTTCTCTCTTATATTCTATCATACTCTCTTTCTTACTCCAACTTACTTGGAATAGGAGATAATTATATATCTTGAAACACCGATGAGATATTAAAAACTGACATCCTTATGGGAGTTCACGTTCTTGTTAATATTGCGATTAAGAGTAAAAAAACTGATAATATTGTACTAATTTTATGATTTATTAGTTTAGTAAACGTTTTTATCAGTGTATATGTATTTAAAACTCAATAATACTAGATTTTTCTTTAAAATTGTAATCTCAATGTTATCTTCAAAGTTTGATTATCAACAGCGATGATAACTAGAGAAAAAAAATTGTTATTTAGCGACAATATATAGGATATTACCTATAGCTTTTACATATATTTATTTATGGAACATTTATGTAATAAAAAATCATGAATTTAATAATGTATTAGCCAAATAATATTTATATCAATAATAGCAAATTTATGTCAATTGTCGATAATGTCAGCGTTCTTGAATTATCTCCGGGTTCTTGAGGCTCTTTTTGTACCGCCGAAAATTTGCCCAGGGTTGTCGATCTTTAATAGTATCTTGTCGATGCTTGAAATAAAGTGAAACTTACAAAAAGTGAGCAAATTTATTAGATGTTGACCAGTCAAATTATAAATATTCTAGTGAATTTAACTACTCTGTAATTTTCACCTCATTTCAAGATATATAATTGGTCGCGTTCAGCAGATTGAACTGTTGTGGAGCGAATCTGTGAGCGCTTGCTGCTATTGGTGTATTCTTTTAGATCATCCAATAGCAGCGAGAGCTCATTGATCCGCTCCGCAACAGTTGAGTCTGCTGAACGCGACCATTGACTCTCATA